TTTTAATTGAATCAATCATTGCTTTCTTCAATAAAATGTCCATTCCTTCTGCCCTTTTGGTTTATTGTTCTTCAGAGTTTCATTTGCTTTCTTTTCCAAATATATATGATTTTGGCCTTTGTCATTGAAAATCATTGCTGGTTTTGCTACCTCATGCTGGAAAGGAAGCCTTGTGACTGTTTTATAGTCACTGATTTCATGGTTGTATGAGTGCTTAATGCCACCTTGCAGGGGTGTGCAGAACTAATGAAGTGTGTACATAAAAGGCTTATTCTACACTGAGTGCAGGGTTAGTGTGAGCAGCCCACATCATCAGTATCATAATTAATCCATTACAATCATCCTCTGTTAATCAGTGTTATCCTTCTAACGTCTCTAGGAGAGGAAATGTAGTATTCTCAATGCAAATTTTGCCAAAATTTAGTCAATTCAACACCTTTAAAGCTTTGCTGTCAATAGGACTGTGTGCCTGGTATCCCTACTTTTGCTTCTCCTGACCCAGGACGTGGTCTCCTCGGCTGATGATCCACGAGACACTGGATTCTTGGTCCCATGGCTCTGTGTGTTCTGGGACATCTGGGGACTTCAGCACTGTTTTAGGGGCTTTGGGTCCCAACTCTTCATAGCATTGCTGAGATGAGATCTGTGGGATCACCCTGATTCTTGAGTGTAAGGTGAATTTTTTTCTAGAACCAACACAAGCCAGCATGGCTGCACTGCTTTGACCACGTGCTGGGACAGCGTGTGCTTGTCAGTTCTTGGGTTTAAAATTTTCTGTTCTAATTTCTAAAATGGGGTATATTGACAGATACACTCTATGTAAACAGAAGCTCTGTGGGGTTTTCAGCAACTTCTAAGAGTATAAGTACTCCTGAAGCAGCTAACCTTCCTCCCAAGAAGTGCGGAGCAAGCCGGCAAGTCCTGGGTGCCTGTGGCGGCCATGCTCTGCAGCCCAGGCTGCTCACTGAGGCGCAAGGAGAAAAACTTAAAAACCTACTTCCATGTTGTGTTTCACAGAATCTCAGAACTGAACATTTTAATATTTAAAGAGAGGTGATTATTTTTTAATAAATTATTTTATTTTTTTTCCTTTCTCAGTATTATTAGGTAGAATTATTACAGTTCAACTCCACATACACATATTGCGTGTAAATACATGTATAGAGTACACT